GCAGATCGGACACGAGCTGTGGAGGTTGAGCCACGGGAGGATGCAGTCCGGGTGGTAGATGTGCTTGCAGGGCATCTCGCGGGCCTCCGACCCGAGCGCGAAGGCTTCCGTGCACACGGCGCACCGCGAGTCGGCGTCCACCTGGCCGGCCGAGATCCGCACCGCCGGCAGCGACGCGACGGCGCTCTTGCTGGCCGGGGGATTCTCCGGCTGGGCCCAGAGACTGAACCCGATCTGCGAGAGGCGGTCGAGCATCAGATCGAATCCGGATCCAAGCAGGGTCTCGGACATGGCGGGAGGAAGGGGGCGTAGACCCTGGCCCGATCCGCCGTCGTAGTACAAATCGAAGGTCCTCTGGGCGGCGCCGCCGGCTGGCGGGCGAAGAGCGATTACGGGATTGAAGGAGGAATCGTTCCGCCGGCGGTGGCGTCGGCGGCCAGCAAACGGGCGCGGGGAGAAATCCGAAGGGTCCACGGCTTGTACGAATCCGCCGTGGCAGTGGGGGCAGACGACAGGGCCATCGGAGGCGAGAGAAATGGTTACGGTGCACTGGTAGCACCAATACGACGTCGTAGAAGCCATCGGAGTTGTTGTTGGGGAAAAGATGATGAAGATAGGAATGATTGACTGACAGAGAGTATATGTATATGTGTGCGTATATATTCCGATTGTGATTTCGTGGTGTGTATGAGCTGTGAAGAGAGAGAAAGTGACAAGAAACAGAGATATGAACGCTTGCTTGCTTGCTTTTACACGTTTATATGACCAAAAATAATTAATAGTAATATTTATTAGTAACAAATAGTGTCTCCTTGTTAATGGTGATTTGATTTTTATTGAAAAAACCCGTGACCACGATGAGTGGTGTTAACGGCCGTTTGAGAGTTAACGACGTATTGCATTTAGAGAAATGCTACCGTCTAGTTTCGGAATCATTCTATCGGGGTTGTAATCGTTAGATCATCATGTAACTGTCAGAAATAGTTGATCTAACCATCAAAAACCCCCACGAAATGATTCTGTAACGGGACCGTAGCATCTTCCTTGTATTTGTATGTTTTATTGAGTCATTTGTAGAAAATATTATTAGAAATATCTAAATGGGCAACTTGTGGAATTAGAACAACTAGTATTCATCTTGTGCACATGCACAAAAAAAAATTATATATTATATGTATGCATACAATATATAAAATTTTATATTAAATAATGGATGTATTACATTTTAAATTTTGACTATATGAAAATGTGTCATGTAAATATAATTTATTTAACTTACGTATGAATATTTATATTAATGTCATAAATTTTAATGGACAATATAATTTAGTAATCTAGAGGGACCATACATTTAATTAGTTAGAAAAGTATTACAAATATTTTTATCACTGTTATAGCAGTTGTCTAAATGACTTTAAGGTGTTTAACTATGACACTCATGCCAATTAATTAATATTAGATAAAAAGACAATAATTATTTTATTTTAGAAAAAAAAAATATTTTAAAGAACAAAAAATTGCAATACAATTTCTTATAAGTATGTAACTTCCACATCTATTTAATGTAAAATTATAATCATTTAGTGTTAGTAGTAATATTATATAATAAATTAGTTTAGAATTGTTATTACACTTTATTAATGTAAAATGTAACGTTTTTAAATTAATTGAAAAAATAAGCGAGAAACTTATGAAGGTTTTATTAAATGTTTAATGCATCTGCCAACAATTATATATATAGATTGCAACATAAAAAGATGGTAAACAATAATCAATATTATTAAATTTGTTATTAGTAATTAAATATAGAGAGAGAAAGAGAGAAAAAATATAAATGTTAAAGTTTGTAACGGTTTTTGGAGGGAAATCAAAATGAGGTTTTATTAAATGTTTTATTAAATGCTATTAGCCAACAATTATATATATATAGATAGTGTTTAGGTAAGTAGTAGGGTTTGTGTTGTGAGTTTGAAATATGAGAAGGTTAATGAATCGAGTTACCACAAGAGTTCATTGAAATCCTCCGTGTTGACTCATGGAATCAACAACAAAAGTTTGGCAAGAAATACGAAATGTAATTAAGACACGAACAAATTAGAAATATGATGAAATAAATGCTTGATCTATTTAGTTTGCACATTTTTATTGTGTTTTTCGTGTATGTCTACTTTTCTCGTGTATTTGTTGATGTATTTTTCGATGATTTGACATTATGAAGGTTATTACAATTTATAGTGCGCAAAAAGTGAAAGTCATCACGACTTTTTGAAGGGTCATCTATATGCAGATTGACGTTTTTTTCCACAATCAAGTCGAAAAGAGATTGCAGTTCTCTTCTACATGCACTATCTTGATTGTGGCGAGTCTATCCTCAACAAGTGTCGTTATGGATTTGCTCCGCAAAATTCCAGTTGAACTCGTTCAATAACTGGATGAAGAAAGAAGATATGAACGCGGTGAATTTAATGAAAATGAATAGGGCAACACACATGATTCAAGGATCAATGGAGTTCATATCAGGTCACTTGTTGCGTTTACTATGTGTTTCATACTTTCACCTAAAAATGTTACTCAAACCGAGTCAAGCACTTCGTATTTGAGCCTGTGCTCATTTAATAAACAAGCTAAAAGCTCAGCTCATCTAACGAAACCAAAATCGTATACAAGTTGGCTTAGCAAATATGATCTACGCGTTTGCAAAAATGTTCGGCTCGACTCTGCTTCTCATGACAACTCGTTTAAGTAAATTCACAAGCCGTATTCAAACTTTCACGGGTCAAACCAAGTTGTATTCGCAGTCATCTCGGTTTGAACAACTCTACTTTCACCTCAACATTAGGTAAGTAGGGTAACCAAACAACATTAAATTTCACTTTTCCTAAGATAAAAGGATACAAAGGCAAACTTTAATGCACATATTCATAAATTAAAGTCTCTTTTGATTACTAGTATCTAAAATTTTTTACTAGTTTCAAAGCCATCATATTTGAACTATGTCACCCTGTCATCCCCTTCACATGATCTCACCAAACAACTACATGAGGATGTCAAAAGATTAACAAATGCAACTTAAACCTATATCATAATCCACACCATCCACATTGTGAAAAATCAAGATAACACCTCATCAGATTCAAAATATTAAAATTTCTACCCCAAATGAAATAAAAATTTGAAAAAGCATTCAAATTCAGGGCAATGCTCTTGATTCATCAGCAATTAACCGATCATCCTCCACAGAAGAGACCTGTCCTAACAACTCCATATTTTTCCCCATAACAAAGATCTACTTCAAAAAGAAAGAGAGTCGAATCAAATGCTAAACGACCTGGGTGGCGCCTTGTAGTTATCGTACGCGTTTCGAGCCGACTCGCACTTCTGCAGAATATCCTCACAAACCTTCACCGACCCCTCCGAGAACTTGGTCAACCGGTCGAGAACTTTAGTCAAACTCCCCTGTATGGACCCCACATTCGAACCTTCATCGGGCTTCAACTCGGTCAAACTCTCATCTGTTTTTTTCGACTCCTCAGCTTGGTGCCTGACCGAACGCCTCAGCTCAGCCAAAAAACCCCTGACCGAATCACTGACCTCCTGAGAGGGCAGGGACTTGATCCCGGCCGACCAATCGCGGCAGAGGACAAAGATTGGCGGCGCCAGGTGGCGGCGTGGGGAGAAGGCAGCCCGGCGGCCCTTGTGACGGTCGCCAGGTGGCGGCTGGAGGATGGAATTCTGGAGCCAGCTGTTGAGAGAGCCGACATACGAAGTGTAGCTGTTGACCCAATCGGTGAAGCTGAGGCCGAAGAACTCGACCTCGTCCATGAGCTGGAGGATGATCTGGCGCTGAGTCTCGCCAGGTGGGGCCACAACCGAGCCCCGAGCATGATAAGCTAGTGAGATTGTGATGTATTGCGAGTGGTGGCACTCGAGCATGGCCTTCCACATTCGGGTCAGTCTGCATATAGATTGCAAAGATAGAATCAAGAGCTCATTAGTTTATTATTGTTATCATTAGGGAAACAATGATAAACAAGAAAGGAAAAGAAAAGGATCGTTAAAATTTTGTATACCTAATGTTGAATATATTAGATTTAAGCACAACTTAAGACAAATCATAATCTGACACTTTGCTAGCTTTTGGATGATCTAAGGGTGACGTGCGACAAATTCATACAATGTAGCTGGCGGAATATGTAATTTCAAATTTGAGAAGACAAATTGAAAAAAACAATTAGAAGAAAGATCTAGTTCAGCGTGCAAATTTAACTCAAGATAAAACATTTTGGAATATTACAAATGCCTCAATCATAAATGATTTTTATTGTCGAATATCAATCTCAAGTCTTTGTAAATAAGTCATCCACGTTTGTAAGAATTTGGATAGTTTTTGTAGTTATTCTTACAATCAAACATTGGCTCCGGTTGTAAATGGCTTAAAGATAAATCACAGAGGGGAAACAAGGTCAACCAAAATTTAAACGACAAATAACAGTACCAGTTACTGGTATTCTTTTTTTATTTAGCTTTAAATATCAGAAATGCATTTCTAACCCGTGAATGAGTTCGAGGAGCTGTGGCAGCATCTCCTCGTCCCGCATTTTCTCGATTCTTTTCGAAATTGTGTCGACCGAATGAAGTGCGACTCTTATCCGTGAGTGCAGATCTTTCACAGCTGCCCGGGTTTTGTCAATGACTTGAGAGCTCATATCCTTTGCAAATTGGTGCCGAAGCTGGTCACACTTCCTGTCGTATTCCTTTTGTATAGACTCACTAGCCTGCAAACACCAAATACAATTAAATAGTTCAAAAATTGGAACCAGTAAATAGTAGTAACATAAAGATAAAAGAAAAAAACCTCGTTGCAGAATGTAACATGTTAAAAAGTACCTTCACTTCGTCATATAGCTTTCTCTCCCACGCGTAGAGTCTATCAAGTGTGGAAGAGTGACTCCCAGAAATCATGCAAAACTCCTCGACAAAATCACTTCCACTGTCACTATTATCATCCCTAGTTGCAAGAAGATTCTTAGACGAGGAAGACTTAGAAGATGTTCTTTTCCATGTGATAACCTTTGTAACAAGTTGATCTGGTAACACATATATATAATGCTGAGGGTGAGAATTTGGAAGAGAACCGTACATATCAAGTTTAATTCCAGCTAACAAATTAATTCTGAAATATTATTGCAACACAAAAAAAAAAAAGAAAGAAATCCCATGTGAAAAAAACAGTATATACCATCAGTGACATTCATATTTCCACCTTGGCAACAAGCTGCTCCGAGAGAAGGCATACAAATCGAGGCTGACGATGAACCTACGAGCACAACCATCACAAAAAAAAACTACCCCTTTAAATAATGAATAAATAAATAAATTAATAAATTGAAATTCGCATGTATTTCTATTTTTTCCCATCAAATAATGATCATCACCTCTGGCCTCAGCATACCCAACATGGATTTTGCTTGACTCGAGCATCCTCGATACTTCCTTCCCAGATTCAGAAGCTCTAAAGCAACGGTTATCAATGTCCCTTATACTACACACAAAATCCTTTGCCCTGTGCGTTATATACTCGGATGGATCTTCCCTCTCAGCAGCACATATATCCTTCTCCACCGAACCTCTATTCATCCTCGAACCCGATTCTACTCCCGAACCCTTTCCTACTTTTTCACTTTCTTGCTTTTTCGGAGTCTCCATTTTAGGAGTCACAGGCTCTTCATCATCACCATACAATTCACCATTATCTCCATTCATAACACCAAATGCACTCCTCTCGTCCTCAAAATCTCTGTTCTGACCATTTTGCCCCTCGAACCGAAAACTCCTCTCTGCAGGATCAAAGTAATCCCAAGACGACCCGGACTCGTCGGGGGGCGGGGGAGGGGGTGGGGGAGGTGGAG